GACTAGCAAGCCCCCAGCTGTCGAAGCATAGCGGTTTCCCCGTTCAAACATGCGCAGGAATGGAGATACAGGACCGTGAAACACGCTAGTTCGTCCATGCTCCGCCCAATGCCTTTTTGCGGCGCAGATTCCCGTCCTTCATAACATCCGTCGTAAGCGCGCGTGTCGCGTGCGGCTCCTTGGCACTTTGCCAAGTCCTTTAATTGCGCTTTCAAATACAAGTAAAAATGCAATTTCCTGTAGCAATTGGAGGTGTGCAAAATAAGAAAAGACATGATGTACGAGGTTCAGGAACTTAAAAAGCAACTGTGCCACTTCTGCAACATCCCTCGGAGGCCGCGTATTGTCACGAAACATGAAAATAAAAACGGCATACTCGTTAGTTTAATACAAACGCAATTTCCTGATGCGAATAAAATTTAGGTGTTGCTCATGCTTCAAAATCCATGTACAAGGAGATGAAGATGACACAGGCTAGAAATGAAGCACAACGATGTAAATGTAAACAAAACAAAAATGAAAAAATCAAGGAAAGGCAAATTAGATAAACTGGCCTGTAAATTTCTACGATCCGGCGCGAATCCGGTGCCGGCAGCCAAAAAGCCCCTAGAAATAAACGAGTGGACGCTTGGGCTGTTTTTATTCTCATGTTTTGTGGGAATGCGCGGCCTCTGATGGATACTGCAGATGCAGCCGAGTTGCTCTTGAGTTCTGGCCCTCGTCATCATCTTCTGTTCTTTTTGTAGCACCTCCAATGTTATCGCATCAGGAAATTGCGTTTTACTTGTATTTGAGAGCGCAATTAAAGAACTTGGCAAAGTGCCAAGGAGCCGCACGCGACACGCGCGCTTACGACGGATGTTATGAAGGACGGGAATCTGCGCCGCAAAAGGTGTAAGGCGGAGCATGGAGGAATTAGCGTGTTTCACGGTCCTGTATCTCCATTCCTGGGCATGTTTGGGCGGGGGGACCACGACACATCGACAGCTGGGGGGCTGATAGTCTCATACACCCTCAATGTGTTCGAGCGTACGCATGTGTCTTCTAACCAATACATCGAAAATATTGGAAGAAGATCTCTTTTTCTCTGCTCTCACTCAAAGGCAGCTGTTTAAAGGCGGGGCAGATTTCTAAGGTAGGCTGTTGTTGCCAGCATTACTGGTGGAAAGGCTACGAGAGGGTCGTGGTTGTCACACCCCAGTCAACTCTTCCATCAATGATGTTGGCGAACCCCCCCCCCCAGGCCATGGTGCCCCAGCCTGGCCTTTAGGAACCTCATTTCAAAATCGTCCCACGCTGTTATCAGATTCTCCCCAAAATTTTGCAAAGGACGAGGGGGTAGACACCTGCGATCAATCATCGCAAAAGCAAAAATCAACAGACTCTATGGAAATCCTTTCAAACCAGATTACGACGCCCTCCAAGCGGCCAAATACGATCCCCCTCATGTTTCCCACAACGATAATGTGCCCTGTTTCCAGGGCCCATTATTGTTGTGGGAAACATGAGGATGATCGATTTGGCCGCTACTGTATCCTGGCGCAGGGCACGACGTCGTTGAAGAATTCTATCATGGAGGTTGCATTATTAGCTGGGAGAAGGTCGAACTCAGCTTATAGGCTCGCTGAGAGGGATCTGTATCAGAGATAAAAAGTGTGGGAGTTTTTCGAAAGGGTTTTGGTGCAATATGCCAGCCGCTCTCCTCCTTGTCTACATTTTTTCGTGGATGTGAGAGTAGTAATTAGTAAAATCGAGGCATGGAGGCTTTTATGAAGGTTTTTACATAGAGGTAGACGAGAAGGGCTTATGCTGAAGGATCAACGTTCCTCAGCGCTATAATATGCCCTGGTCTCATAAGGGAGGTCTTTCAGGTCGTGGCGCGCTTTTTGGAAATGGTTTGTTGCTTGTTGTAGGGGTCCATACAAGGATCACAAAAATGGGTTTCATTTTTGCCTTCTGGGTGTTCAAAAACTGGGTAAAAAGAACTTGACAAAAATTGGGATTTTAACTATCTTAATGAGCTCGTTCTTATTGAAACTTTGAGCATACATAGTTAGTGAGGTGCTTCATAATTCAGGCTTCGAAAGTAATTTGAAATAAAGTCAAAATGTAAGTATCATTTAGTGACACATTGGGCATGCACCGACGCAGCAGTGATATTTTTGTCAGTGGTCCTCGTCATGCTCACTGTAGAGATGATGGCGGCTAGCGGATAACTCGGTGGATTCTGGATGGCTCGACGATAAGGAGCTTTGTGGATTGGGTCCTCCTTGCGGCAGACCTTCTATTTTTCAGCTTTCTATTTATTCGCGTTCCAGTGTGTCCAGCAGTGGGAATAAGCCAAGTAGATGCTATTTGAAGGCATATTCTTCATTCTGGTACCTTACAAACCAGCTCGATTGTGTGGAGAAGCCTGTTTCCGGGAATGTTCTCGTCTCGTTACGTTAACCTTTCCCTTCATTGTTAGGAAATCTTAAACTGTGGTAAGGTCCAATCCATCGAGTTATCCGCTGCGCAATCCGATCCGCCGACAGTGAGCTTGAGGGGACCGCTTGCAAAAAGCATCACTGTTGCGTCGACAAATGCCAAGAGTGTTACTACATGATACTTACATTTTAAGTTTATTGAAACTATTTTCGAAGCCTCATTAACAAGCACACCATAAACTGTGCATGCTTGACGTTACAATCAGAACGGTGTCCATTAAGATAGTTAAAATCGCCCATTTTTGTCAATAATTCTTTCAACTTCAGTTTTGACCTACCCAGAAACGCATAGCAAAAATGAAACCCATTTTTGTGACCCTTGTATGGACCCCTACAACAAGCAACAAACCATTTCCAAAAAGCGCGCTATGACCTGAAAGACCTCCCTTGTAAGTCCGTGAACGGTGTAGACGAGAAATAGAGATTATAGAGATTATGAGGGAAAGCTTTCTGTGAATTCTTGTGATTCCAATGTTCAGGGAAATCAAAGCACATCGTAGCTCAGCTTAATGGCTTGGTGAATGCCGTCAAGGATCCATTCAGATTATATGCTGAAATTACTATTACTACCAATATGAACAACGAGCAACAAATAGCCGAAGCCGATGTACTACTCAAATGGTGAGTGCCTTCAGCAAACCCTGATCCTTAGTCATTCTGCATTGATTCGGGAGTGCAGGAGTGGCGCTCAGGAGCTGTTTAACGTGCGCGGTAGTGACAGCCAAAAATAAACCTTGTCTCCTTGCGTGCGACACGCAATGCAGTTGTCACTTTTCTGGGGCAGGGAATAAAGGATTCGTAAGCGTCACTCCTGAACCAAATCAGGCCGATGATTCAAGACCTCGTTTAACTGCGAGATAGACCTCCCTGTTTCAGGAAAATACCGCAGCGGATGTGGCTACCATCTTTATTTCGGGGCGGCGAACTTCTGTCAGTTTAAGGACCAGCAATTCTATGCCACGGTGAGTGATCACGTTATGATGAGTCATTTGAATATGTAAAAGCTATAAAGAAATGGCGCAGTAACGATAATACTTCAAGCGGAATATTGCTATTATTACTTTTATGGATTGATTTGTCTTAATGGTTTCTCTCGCATGTCGACTATGTGGGAGCTGCGGGGGGAGGGACGTAACATCCGCGATGTGGAGAGCACTTGGATGTGGTTTAAAGGCAGTGGGCACGATTGCTGGAGGCGGGACGTTGTTGCCAGCGTCATTGGTAGAAGGGCTGCGAGAAGGCGTTTGACCACACCCCACTCAATCCTTCCACCAATGATGCTGGAGGTAACCGTCCGCCCCCAAGCGTCATTATCTCAAAGATCTAATCAATTTCAGCTGAAAGCGGCAGAATGCCAACTAACTAACATTTTGCGGGTCGCTCAACATAGATATGACGTTCCACAGCTAAATTAAGCGCGATCTCTCTGTAAAGCATAAACTCCGAACGTTTTTTTCCTCGAGCTTCGCTTGAGAGAATTAGATAGTCCATAATCGTTCAGGTATACGCCGATGATAACAATGGTTACACTATCCAACGAACTACTACTGGATACTGTTCACTAAGTGAGTTGTTGACTCGTATTGCTTCGTTTTAGGAGCCGCCGCCCCTTTGCAGCTCGATTTGCCGTACGCGCTATGTGCGACTAGCTCATGATTTCTCCTGAATACTTGAGGCTTGGGCCATATGGCTGGGGCGACAGTTTTGCCTGACAAGGCACAATACCTGTCCTTTCAGCTGAAACAACACCGCTCCCACCGACTGCTTGCCAGAATGGTGGTGTCGTTGATCCCAACAAGAATTCGTCGTGTATCTGTCCACCCAACTACGGAGGGGATCAGTAAGTACCATTTCTGTGAACCCAGAGACTTCGATCACGTTATTGATTAATTGTATTTCGTTACAGTTGTGAAAATGCAATCTGTCAAAATGGAGGAACAAGCCTTGGAGCTTACTGTGCATGTGTTCCTGGAACGGGTGGAACGTTCTGCGAATTG